GCCAGGGGAAAGTCCCCCACCTCGCCCCCCTGCAGCACAGCACCCCCTAGCGCCAGCCTGGGGCATCGGGGCCAGCCCAGCCTGCCAGGGGAAAGTCCCCCACCTCGCCCCCCTGCAGCACAGCGCCCCCTAGTGCCAGCTTGGGGCATCGGGGCCAGCCCAGCCTGCCAGGGGCGCGGGCCCCCTGCCCACCGCTCCCGGGAGCTCCCTGCATGGCCGACACGCACGACCTCAGGCGACGGAGTGCACCGTTCTCAGAGACGGGTGAGGTGGAAATGTCCTAGCGGCTCATCTCGTCCATCTCCCGGCCTGTGCATGATTGGCCGCCCCCCTTGCCAGACCCCTCTGGTGCACCGTGGGGCAAACCCCATAGCGGGAACCCCAAACTCCCTGGCCTCATCCACGTGTTCTCCTGCCGGGAAACATCCCTTGTTCTCGTCCCTTCGCGGCAGCCCCCAAAAGCCCCCTCCGTGTAAATGCTGTCATGCCGGCGGCTGGTTATTTGGATCAATTATTGTAACTTTCTGAGAAATGGCGTCGTTTTCCCCCAGCTCCCCGCCAGGCTCAGAACTGCCCCTTCCCCCTCGTGCGTGGCAGGGAACGCAGGAGCTCTTAGGTGGGGGCAGGGGCTCGTCTTTCCCGCTCCCTGGCCTCTGTCTGCTGCCCTGGTCCCCAGGCTGACCAGCTCCCCAGTTCCGGCTCCCCCCAGTCCCTGGCTGCAAGCGAGACTCCAGCTCTGCCCCCTCCCCAGACGGCTGCCTGGCTCCGCGGCACATGGAGCCCAATTCACGCCCAGGAGGGAGCTGCCCTCAACTGCTGGCAGGGCAAGGAAACTAAACGAAATCTTGGGCGCCTGGCTGCAGGGATGTGGGATCTCCAGGGCATCTTGGGCAAACAGGTCCATTTCCACGGGGGGGGGGGGGGGGGGAGGGGTTCCCAAGCTCCGCAGGGCATCAAGACCAGAGTAGGGTTACCATATTTGAACCTTCAAAAATGAGGACACTCCACGGGCCCCCCGACCCTGCCCCAACTCCGCCCCTTCCCTGCCCCATTGGACCCCTTCCCCAAATCCCCGCCCCGGCCCCGGCTCCTCCCCCGAGTGCGCTGCATTCCCCCCTCCCTCCCAGCAGCATGAAACAGCTGTTTCACGGTGCAAGCACTGGGAGCTAGGGGGAAAAGCGGGCAGCCTCTCAAGAGATGGCAAAATCCCAGACGTTTTTAGATATTTAAAAATTCCTCCCGGACGGCGATTTAAGAACCAAAAAGCCGGACGTGTCCGGGAAAATACGGACGTTTGGTAACCCTAGACTAGAGAGGACCCGGGGAAGGTTAGCGCCGTCTGCGGGAGCTTTCTCCAGAGCGATCCGGGGTAGGAGCCACCGAGCGGGAGGCAGACCTGCCACCTGTCTGGTTTTCGCACGGCCTGGCCGGTTGCCGGTTGAATGTGTCGGGGGGTTTCCCCACTCGGCACAGCTCAGCCCAGCTCAGGAGGGAGGGAGGCCGGCCCGGTAACTGACAGCAGAAGCGGTGGAGCTGGAGGACTCGGGGCTCAGCTCTGGGGGGGCCGTCTAGAGTTTGGGCTGGTCCGGCGGCAGCCGTGTGGCAGCTCTCGCAGGGATCGTGCGTTCAGCAGCACCCCCAGAAATCCCGGAGCCAAGGGTGCAAACCCAGGCAAAGGCCCACGTCTCCCAGGCGGGCTGTCCCTCGTCATGGCGTCGCTGGGAGGGGGCTCGTCTCTCCAGCCCCGCTGGCCGCTAGGGCCCCAAACCTCAACCCCACCAGCCTTCTCCTTCCTGCGCAGGGTGACACCAAGAACGACGCGTGGATCTTCGCGCTGGCCGTGCTCCTCAGCAGCACCCTGGTCTACAACAGCAAAGGGACCATCGACCAGTACGCCATGGAGCAGCTGCAGTATCCTTGTCGGGGTGGGCCTGGGGGGCGGGGGAGGGCTCCACGTTAGACTCGGGGGGGCTGTTCTGCCCCATGCCTTTGCTAGGTTCCTCAGCCCCATGAGTAGCTTTGTGTCTGAGATCAGCACCCACATCCGGATGAAAGCCCAGGCCGGGGATGGCTTTGAGGACGACACTCAGTACTCCCGCTTCTTCCCCAAATTCATCTGGGCCGTGCGGGATTTCACGCTGGAGCTGAAGCTCAACGGGCAGGCGGTGACGGAGGACGACTATCTGGAGAGCGCGCTCGCGAGGAGGAAGGGTAAGAAGGACACGTCCGCGTTTCCCCCCAGCCTCGTCACCACTCAGGCAACGGCCGCCTCGGCTTTGAGCTTTGGCGACTAGGCCTGGCTGTGTGGGTTCCTTCTGGCCAGCTCGCTCCGGGAGAGTTTTCTCCACAGCCCAGCCCCGGGGGATCTCCAGGGCTTCTGGTGACCCGGCACCAGCAGCAAAGTCCCTGCGAGACTTCATGGAACCTCTGTTCTTTTAGGGCCGATTTTCTTCAGCGTTTTTTGCATCTGTATCGTAAGAGCGGCCACACTGGGTCAGAGCAAGGGTCCCCGCAGCCCAGTGTCCTGTCTCTGACAGCGGCCGGCGCCAGGTGCTCCAGAGGGAAGGAACAGAACAGGGCATTTCTCCAGTCAGCCATCCCCTGTCATCCCATCCCAGCTTCTGCCAGTCAGAGGTTTAGGGCCACCCGGAGCATGGGGTTGTGTCCCTGCCCATCCTGGCTAACAGCCATTGATGGACCTGTCCTCTATCTAATTCTTTTTTGAACCCACTTATACTTTTGGCCTCCACAACATCCCCCAGCAGAGAGTTCCACAGGTTGACTGTGGGTGAGAAGATCCAGGAAATTAACTTCTTGGCTCCTGAATCTAAAACGATGAGCCTGTTTGGCTTGAGCTAAGCGACCAGATCCGTTCACTCTGACGCTCTGGCAGGCTGGGGCCATGTCTACACTACGGGCGGGTCTCAGCGATGTAGATAATCCACTTCCCCGAGGCTGGCGGGAGAGAACAAAATAAATAAATTAATGGAGATATCTTATCTCCTAGAACTGGAAGGGACCTTGAAAGGTCATTGAGTCCAGCCCCCTGCCTTCACTAGCAGGACCAAGTACTGATTTTTCCCTAAGTGACCCCCTCAAGGATTGAACTCACAGCCCTGGGTTTAGCAAGCTAATGCTCAAACCACTGAGCTATCCCTCCCCCCAGGAGTTGTGTTAATGTGGGTTACGGACACAGCCATGTTCTGAAGTCAGTCGGGGTTTGTTCCTGTTTGCTGGCTTGCGGCGTCGGTCCCCTCTGCACACAGAGCTCTGGGCTCTCCTCTGGGGCGAGGGAAACGGGGTTCCTGGGTTCAGGTCTTGTGTGACTGGACAAGTCGCCTAATGACGCTTCCTCTTTCCCTGGGGTGGGGGGCTGGGAGGCTGAATTCGGGGGGGGGGGTGTTGTAAAGCCCATTGGGTGGAGAAAGGCAAAAGGCTGCTTGGTGATTCAGACACTCCCGCAGCAGCCCCGGGTCCCCCCGCACTGAAGTAAGATGCGAATCCAGCGCCCAGAAAGCCCCTGGAGTTGCTTTGCAAGGGCGGGGTGGGGGCCATGGGGCTGAGCAGGTCTCTGTTTCCGAGTCTCCAGGTTTCACAAAGGAAGTGTCCGATTACAACGTGATCCGGGACTGCCTTCGCAACTACTTCCCCACCCGCAAGTGCTTTGTCTTCGTGCCGCCCGTGGCGGGGGAGAAAATGAGTCAGCTCTCCACACTGCCGGACAGCGCCTTGCACCCGCAGTTCCTCGCGCAAGCCACCAGCTTCTGCGAGTACGTCCTGCGGGAGTCGCAGGTCAAGACCGTCCCCGGAGGGCAGCCCGTCACTGGCCGACGTACGTCAGCTCAGGGACCACGGCCTTCGCACCGTCTTGTAATAGCTGCGGTTCAGCGAAACAGGCCTGTGTCCCAGCCTCCAGCGCTCGCTTGCTGCATTTCAAACCAGGCCCTGGGGGCTTTCTCTCCGGCTGCCCCCCGCAAACAGCCCCAACGCCACCTTGCGGTCCTGCTGCAGGGCCTCCTCCAAACTATCTATCTATCCATCCCCATCCGCCCCCTCTATCTATCTATTTATCTATCCCCATCCGCCCATCTATCTATCTATCTATCTATCTATCTATCTATCTATCTATCTCCATCCACCCCCGCTATCTATCTATCCCCACACACCCCCTCTATCTATCTATCTATCCCCATCCACCCCCTCTATCTATCTATTTATCTATCCCCATCCGCCCATCTATCTATCTATCTATCTATCTATCCCCATCCGCCTCCTCTATCTATTTATCTATCCCCATCCGCCCATCTATCTATCTATCTGTCTATCTATCTATCTATCTATCTCCATCCACCCCCGCTATCTATCTATCTATCTATCTATCTATCTATCTATCTATCTATCTATCTATCTATCCCCCCTCTGCCCCCTCTATCTATCTATCTATCTCCATCCGC